TCTCTCGACATTCTACTTGTACCCCTTCCCTTTTCCTAGTCCACCATTCTCGCCTACTATTCTCACACGCTGAATCCATAGTTGTTGTTGTAGAAGCGACATTGGAGGAGGGAAGTACTGGATTTTCTCCAGCCTCTGCGCAATTTGCGCCTGGCATGTTGCTTGCCCTTGATGTAAGGATAAGTTCTAGTGGAAGTTGTCTTGTCGGAGACTTTTAGCAGTTCCTATAATCCAAGCTAGCTCTCATATCATGTTAGAGTGAGGATCTTTGATAGGATAGGAATGCTTTAGAAGAGTTTGGTAGCGGAAGTCTTTGTTGTAGGAACTATGATCGTAGTGAATGTAGATGACAAAGTTGACTACAACATAAAATTACACACAATAAATAGATATAACTAACCATGTACTCTGAGAGGTACATTCCCTTATTCTAACTGCCTTACAGGCACTCCTATAGTGACTCTGAATATTGCACTTCTTCTTGTTACCGAGTCGCTGCGTGTAACCGTACGCACGGCTACGCCTGTTGCCATTCCTCGATGGTAAGTCAATCTTCGGTCCAGATGGTCAACAGTCGCGACAGTTGACTCTTGCGACTGTTGACCTTCCTGCCTTTGATACGGGCTGATCCGATACTGCTGCTAGCGCTGCTTTGATAATGACAGGTGCGATACTGCTGCGCCTATGGGAATGCTAAGTATATTTCCCTTCATACTCCAACAGTTGTTATTCTGGATATGTTGCATTCACTGGCCCTGCACTACAGGATTTTGTGATGCCAACTATTTAGTATTCCAGGCCTCGTTGATACCGCTCTTGAGAATCACTTGTATAGTGCTCGCAATAACCTTATAAAAAGCTCCCTTCTCGATCTTCTTGTGGCATGATGACCCTTGTCATGTCACCTGTTCACCGTTGATTTCTCGCAGACCGCGAGATTGTCGTTCGTGAAGTAGACAGCTGTCTGGTCTCTCAAGTGAACTGGCTGTCTTTTATCGAGTCCCGAGCATTTTCCCCTCTCGCCCTTGGACACAGTCCAAATTCGTTCTGGCACTTGCGTCAGTCGTAACAAGTGTACGACAGTGGATGAACTGTACAGTTCCGAACAAGGTTACAGGCGACACGTCAGACGACTCCCTCAACAAATCCACTTCTGTCGCTGCTTGCTTGCTTTGCTGTGCTGCTTCTTCCTCCCCTTGCCTGTAATGCTAGCTGAAGGCCGAAGAAAGGATGACATGGCAATGTCTGAAATGTTTATTCAGTGTAAATGCAAGCATTTCTCCTCCCCGTCCCAATGAAGGACAAAGCCATCCAGAATTATTGCATTCCTCCGTTGCTCATCCGAACATTGCAGTTTCGTTGTCACGTTTGTTTGGTAACGGTTTAGTTTGCCGCGATTATGGGTTAACCCATGAAGGAAAATGTCCTCCCGTTCCCTCTGCCCTCCACGTCATCCCATTGTGTACAGTTCGTAGCGCACAAGAGCAAATGAAATGGGACCACATAAATTTCGTCACTAATATCTCTTCCTCCATCAATGCGATATTTTGCCTTCCAATTTTATTGACGATCCTTCATTAGAACAGCCCCTTCACCCATCTTCTATCCTCCGCCCCTTTGCTTCCACTGCGTGGTCAGAAATAACTCCAAGCGAAATGCAATGCACCGCGCCTCGGTGAACTATACCACTGTCCTGCGCTTACAGTATCCCCCGTCATGACTTCCTCCCTTGCCGTACATCTCGCCCAGCCCTGTCCCCGATTCAACCGCAGCCACCTGTCGGCCTACCGCCATCTGTCCGTCCAGCTCGGATCAGCGAGAGGTCAACTTTGGGTGAGGTGTAAATGGAATCTGTCCTGCCTTGCCCTCCCTGGCCTAAGTTCGAGTCAAGAGTCTTAGACTCTAGGGACCATCTAAGCAGAGCAGCATCAGAGCATTTGCCAATGGACGTTTATAAATTAAGAGCAGAGGCTTGTTTACTAACGTGCTTACCGCCCTATCCAGGATAATTTTCTGAGGTTGGAGTAACGTGACGTTGGGCTAAGCTGTGGTCGAGTCCGTGCATTGTCGGAGCTATTCGACTCGAACTCGAGTATAACCGAATCAGGAAGACGCATCAACCCTGTCATTCGTCTCGACCACGCTTCAGCTTTTCCTCCCCAGGTTCAGTGCGTATCTTCTATCGAATCCGCGTGATTGCTTTCGCCTCGAGAATAACAACTCGCCGATCAAATTCCAGCCGAAGAACTATCCACTTCAGAGAGTATCCCACGCCAGCACCCTTCAAACGCTGTCATCCACCGTCAACCTCCGTCAATCGAGTAGAATCAATGGCAGAAAACCAGTTTCACTCGACCCGCTACACCAGCTGGTGCCCTGCACCCAAAAGCGCGGACCCCGCCAAAGAGCAATGTCCGACGACGGGGGGATTCGATCCCATAATCTTTGAAGACGACGACGAAGGCGAAATGTGTTACTCGTACGAAGACAACGTCGCGGCGTACGTGGAGTCGCTCGCTCACGCGCACGAGAACCAATGGACAGGTAAGCTGACCGTTGACCATTCGAAATGCCCCATTGTGATTATACATTCATCTTCTAAGCTTCAGAGCTCTTGATGTACAGTCATTTGTCGCGTTCTTATTGCTGTCCTTTCGATCCCGACTCGTACGAGCTTCTAATCCGCTGCACTTCTCATCCCTGCTTCTCCTCAATCTTCAGAGCTGGAAGCTTCGTGCGAGCTTCTCGATCAGGCGGGAGTCGCGATCGAAGAGATTTGCCTCACTCACGGCCTACCGTCCGCCTTAATCTCCGTGGCCTCCATCCCGGAGGTGGACGAAACATCCGAGCAGTTTCACGATGCGCCTACTGCTTGCGCCTCCTCCAACGCCTCAACTCCGCGCCGCGATGATTCCCCTGGACTTTTCTCCCCGGTGGCCTCGAAATTCAGCCGCACATCCTCACTAACTTCGATTGTCGGTGTACCCGTTATAAGGACGTCGCGGTTTCATGGAGGGATGAAGCACTCCGCTTCGGTACCTGCACTCGACAGTCTCGCTTCAAATGGATCAAGCAGCGATCTTATCCCGAATCAGGTGTACTACGTGCCAAACCAGTCGCTACACTCCATCCCCGCTACAGTCAACGATGGCAATCATCGAACCGCCTGTATGAAGCACTCCGTATCCGTCCCCGCTCTCAATCACCTCGCGATACACGAACACCTCCCATCTGTCGGCCAACTCATCCAGCCCATTTCAAGCAACCGCCGGTTAATATCTCAAGCGTCCAACATCTCTCTCCAGAGTAACGACAGCACCGGCTATTTCGCCGCAGATTGCGGCGACGACAGGGATCCGTCGACCCTGCGACGAATGCCGTCAGCAGCTCTAAGCGCGTGCGACGGCGGCGACAGCAATTACAGCAGTCGCGTGCCGTCGCGCGTTCATTCAGTCGCAGATATGCAGGCGATGGCGTTCGCCACGGGGGCTACTTCGCCACTTCCAGCTAGCTTGGCGAAAGCCAGGTCGTTTTCGCAGGAGTTTCGCGCACAGACACCGACAAACAGGGTCCCGCGACAGGGTAACCAATCTCGAGCTGGCGGACTTGCAGTTGGTGTTGGTGCTGTGGATTGCAAGGAGGCAGAGGTCGCGGCTTTATGCCAAGGGAACATCACGAGCGTCGCTAGCAGCAGCAGGAGCAGTCAGGGAATCAGCTCGCGGAGCAGCAGCAGCGGAAGCGGCAACAGCGGAGGAGGTACGCGGAAAGTTGGCGCGGTTCGCTCCATGAAGAAAATGCTCGCGTCGCTGTTTGAAACGGAAAGGAAGATGAGCGTCAAGGTGTGGACAGGCGGAAACCCTCATGCGTTAGACCTGCATGGTAACCCGATCAACACGGCGACACAAAGTTACAGAACGCCTGCGGTGGTTCAAGCAGGTTACAGGGAGAACCTGCCGGCACGAAACATGCCCAAGGAGCTGATTCTACATTTGGAGATGCCAGTTGCTCAGTAAATCCCAGCTTTTGACCAGCTCAGTTCTCAGTTGCTGCACAGGCGCCATTTCTCCTCCGTAGTGCTTGACACAGACGCCATGGGCAGTGTGACCGGGGAGCTGCTGCAGCCAACATGTGCCTTTTTTCCACCTTGAGTGTTGCTCGCGCTTAGGTGTGCTGTGTGCTGCACAACATGCTTGTTTTGTTAAGATAAACGTTGTTAATTTGGTTTGCAAAATAATCCCTACACTGATTCCTTGGCACAAAGAATTCTTGTACGGTATCAGGGCTCAGTGCTTTTCTATAATTTTGTAATCCGTTCCAATTTAGAAACCGGTTTTTCGAGTGTAGGAAAATTACTTGACTGGAAAACCAGTCAATAACGAAACACGTTCCATTTGGGTGACAGAGGTTTTCGTGCGACTCCAAACCATGCCTTATTGAAAGAACGTGAGGCTTCTGCCGCAACGTGTGCAATCTCAGCCGCATATCGCACCTCTGAACACGGGGAAAGTTCCATGTGTCAACCCAGCTGCAGTAGTCCATCACCTCAGAAAAGGCGGCTTGGCGCAATCATCCCACGAACAGACGAACATGAGGCGAATCGGCGATTCGGGTCTTGGCATTTCTTTCAGGGGTGGTTCTGGTTTGTGCTTGCTTGGCTTCCCCCTTCGCATGACTTGGTGCTCATCAGGCCGAAATCTGGACCGGGGATGGGTTTTGAGGGCACAGGCAGCATACCATTGCAGGCGGGATATTTCATGACTGATCAACTGTGGTGAGTGTAAAACAATTGACACCCATTGGTCGCTCACCGTGAGAACTTGAGGCGCAGTGGGTCGGTCCATCAATGATTGCAGCAAGGAATCCGTGCGGCCTTGCATCTGAACGCTCTTCTTAGTTAGGAGGACTGCGCACCCTGATTCCTCGCCTACGTTGCTCACCCGCCAAACACATCCGAAGCATATTCTGATATCCGTAGTAGTCAAACCGTCAAATCTGGAGTCATGCCGCCCACTGCAGGCGTAGCCGCGCACCCGCCACACGCATATCGCGCATGGATCCCTCCTCCCGCTGCAATCACGCCCGTTACAGCCACCCATGCGCAGCATTTTCACCCCTCTCGCGCGTATTTCGAACCTCACGTGGGTCAATTGGGGGAACAAATTGCGGAAGAGCGCGCGCTTGCGGAGGACCGCGCGCGCGCCGCGTCGAAAGTAGGCCAATGGGTCGATGCACATTTCTCCGTTCCACCCGCCGCACCTGACGGCGCAATATCCGGGCATGGAACAGAGGGTTACCCGTTCCCGTGCGAGCCAGAAGCAGCGGAAGAAGGGGGAGAAATGGACGGTGAAGATGGGAGCGTAAACGGACGGCGGAGATCGTCTTTGGAGGACGAGGCGCTAGAGCGGAAGCTGGCAGCCGTTGAGATGGAGAACTGCGAGATGACGGGGCGAGTGGCGGGTCTAGAAGCGATGCTTCGAGAGCGGGAAAGGGAGACGGCGGACATGCGACGGCAGATATTCGCGTACACGCAGGTCAGGGTTTTCTTATATCGAGATTAATCAAGTGAGCTAGAAGGGGCGCTGCGGTAGAGAGGGACAAAGACTTGTAATATTTCTGGTACACGTAGGGCGCAGTCACATATGATGACGTACAGGCGGCTGTCGAGGTGGCATTTATCGACTACAAGTAGGTTACTTAGCTTCCTGAACGCTAACCTGTGAGGGGCTTGTAACGAGTACAAGCCGCCGAGGGGCAAGCGGAGCAAGCGATGGTGCTTATAAAGGGCAACGCTTGCCCTTCATACGGTTGCCGCTCGCCCTTGCACTCCACCTTCCCCCCTCTTCCCATTCCCCCCATTTCTTCCCTCCACTTCACCCTCCCCTTCTCGTTGCCCTGCAGACCCGCCGACTCTCGAATCGGGCGTTGCTAATTCTTGCCCAACCTCTCCGCTCTTCCCCTCCTCTTTCTTTCTCCCCCTTTCCCCCCCCATTTCCCCCTATCCACTGCTCCCTCCCCTACATGCGCGCACACTCGCAGGCGCTCGAAGCGGGTCGCGGCGACTCGCTGACGCGCGCAGAGCTGATCAACCACGTGGTGCAGCTGACCAATCAGGTGCAAGAGCTCGCGCAGGAGCGCGATGCGCTGCGCAACGCGCCTAACGGCATCGCGCTCACTAACGGCCTTCGCGCGCCCGGCGCGCTTACCAGCGGACGCGCCAGCGTGCTTCCTGGCGCTCTTCATACCGTTACCGCTACTGCTCCTCGTGCTGCTCCTGTTGCGGCTCCTCCCGTTCCTTCCTCTCCTTCCGCTCCTACCGCTCCTACCGCTACTGCTACTGCTGGCACTGGTTCTGGCGCCGCACGTGCCCTTCCCGTTACTGCCACTGCTGCTCGTGCTACCCCTGTTGCGGCTATTCCTGCTCCTCCCGCTCCTTCCGCTCCTTTAGCTGCTCCTGCTCCTCCTCACTCTTCCGCCGTTACTGAAATCGCGGTTCCGCATGTGGCGGCAGCCAATCATCTACAACCGCCCGCGTCTCGTGCCGCGTACCTCCCGCCGCCTTCCACTCTCGACGTAATTCAGAACCCGCTCGTACCGCCAGCCGCTTTCCACCCGGCGGTAAGCTCCTGCTACCGCGCGCCGCCGAATTTGGAGTCGACTCAAAAGCCGCCTCCCGCGCTCGACGTCTCTAAGGACGTAATTAAGAACCCGGGGGCAAGCTCCTGCTACCGCGCGCCGCCGGCCCCATTATTAGATGTCTCCAAAGATGCGATATCCGCGCCGCCTCCGCATGAGATCCTGACCGTCGATCACGAGGAGAGCGCACCTGCGGATGCGCGCGCCCAAGCGCAGCAGCGGGTTGATTCCCCCCCGATTTCCGCCTCCGCTTCCGCCTCCGCTTCCGCCACTGCCTCCGCTTCCGCCGCCGCCTCCGCCTCAGCCGCGCACATTTCTCGTGATGTCGCTCCGCCCGTCCAGCGATCGCAGTCGCTCCACGCGTCTTCCCAGCCCGTCAATAGCGCGATTAACGGGTTAGCTCTTAGCGGGGAGACTCGCTCCAGTTCCTTCTCGCAGCAGCCCTCATCGCGACCGTACATTCTCACCAGCTCATCGCAACCGTCTGTTCGGCCAGAACCGAGGGTTCCAAACTTGTACAAAGCCGCGTTTGCCGCGCCGATCTTTTCGCCGCAACCGGCGCCGCAACCGGCGCCGTTCGGCGCGGTGCAAGTGGTGGGACCGCAGGTCAGCCGCGTCGGGTCCATGCCGCCTCCTGTTGTCCAATCCGCTTCGATAATTTCCGCTCGCGCCGCCAGTACTGGCGGCGGGTCTCTTGTGCGCGCGGGATCTGTTGCGGGGAGCGTGAGCGGAGTAGAGGGCGCGCGGGGCAGGGGAGCGGCCGGAGGAGGGTTGGGCGGAGGAAGGGCGGGCGGAATGGGCGGGAATGGTGGGGGAGTGGGGCCGATGAAAGCGATGCCTGCTAATCCGTTTGAAAGGCCGAACGTGTCTCACTACAGTCCGGTGAGCTGTTTTATTTTTCGAGGACATATACATAGTCACAAGTCACAGTCAGGTGAGCTGTTTTATGTCTGAATCTGATATGAAACATTCAGGGTTCGAATATCAATGGCAATCTCACTAACTACACATGTATAAAGTAAGAGAAGGTCGATTGCTCCTACCATTTACTTTTTGATAGAGTATGTATTCCTACCATCAATTCTCAGTTATTACCTACCACCCAAGAAAAACAAAGTTCCTTGCTCATTCTTTTGGTATTTTTCTAAAACACAACCACTTCCCCCTCCCCCCCATCCTTTCTCTTTTCCCCACCTATTGCATTTTCTACGGGCCCTCGTATCCTACACCCCACCACCACCATCAGTGGCAGCAGCAGCAGCAGCTGCAAAATATTACCCCTGATAAACTTTTTTCATAACACAACCACTTCCCCCTCCCCCCCATCCCTTCTCTTTTCCCCACCCATTTCCTTTTCTACAGGCCCTCGTATCCTACAACCCACCACCACCATCAGTGGCAGCAGCACCATCAGTGACAGCTGCAGAATATTACCCTTGATTTATGTTTGAAACACATCCTCTTACCCCTCCCCTCCATCCCTTCTCTTTTCCCCACCTAATGCATTTTCTACAGGCCCTCGTATCCTACATCCCACCACCACCATCAGTGGCAGCAGCAACAGCAGCAGCAGCAGCAGCAGCAAAAGTACCACCATCAGCAGAGGACTTTCCCCCCAGCCGCCTAGCCCTGGCCCTTGCCCCCTCCGCCCCTCACCCCATCCAGCTCGTTCCGCCCATGCCTGGTGCCATGCCCGCTGCCCCCCTGCCATTTAGAAGGCCAGGGGGGGGGGGGAGGGGGAATGGGCGCAGGGGGAATTGGAGGAGGGGGAATGGGGGGAGGAGGAATGGGGGGAGGGGGAGTGGGAGCGTGGGGAGTGGCTGTAGCAGGGGGACAGGGAAGGGGAATTCCCATGGTTGCTGTTTACCCAGATGCTGCTCCTACTGGTCTTATGGCTGTCAGATCAGCCATTCAGGGGCTGACACGTGGCACTGTAACGGTCAGCAGCAGCAGCAGTGGAAGCGGTTTTAGTGGAGGGAGTGGTGAACAGTGTGAGAAGGCTATTAAGCAGCTAGAGATGCTGCTTAAAACGGGACGGGTTTCAAGGGCGGATATTCTGGCTGGAGTGCACGAGAAATGTACAGTCCTGCTGGAACAGGTGAGAAGAGCCTAACGTGTATGGAAAGGGTGAAAAAGGAGTGCCTAGCTCGTAAAGTGTAACAGGGGAGGGAGTGTACCGTGTACAACTTGTGAATGACAAAGGTGTTTAAAATACTGTAAATTATTGTATTTCTTATGATATTTCGAAGGTGCCTTCTTCTCTCCACAGCCTTCTTCCCGTTCGCCCTTATCCCTTGCAGTGTGCCCCTTTTGTGCCCAAATGCTAAATCGTAAGTTAAAAGCCGATCAAGTATGGAACCACCACCGTTTTGAGCCAAAGGTGTACACATTTCCCCCTTTCCCTTGTCCAGAGATGTGCCTGCTTCCTACTTACATCCACTGTTTCTAACAAGTAATATCCTCAACCCATATGTGTCTTTCCTTCCATACGTGTACCTTTCTTTCTTCCCCACCTCAGATCGTCCCTCCCTCCCGCTCCAATGCTCTTGTACGCCTTATAAGCAAGGGCATATCGCACGCTACAAGCACCACCATTTCTACACCTCCAACCGAAGACCTTTTCCAATCCGACCCCTCCTCCTGTCTCATCGCGTCCCTCCTCTCCGCTATAGTCACACTCTCTTGGAGCCCCTCCTCATGCTTCTTCGATATAAGCATAAAACCTGTAGCGAATATTACTGTACGCCGGCTGTTGCTGATAGATTTTCTAAATGCGGTGTTTTGGCGTGGAGGGAAGGCGTGCGTGGGCGCGGCTGTGGAGGGGTTGGGAGGGGTGCGGAGGGTTGACAAGTGGATTGGCGTGCGAGAAGAATCGCTTCCCTCAGCTCAAGAGCTTGCTGGCTGCAAGGTGAGGTCTTAGCTTGTAAGGTTGTGTGGTCAGAAGCACGTGAGGTGTTGCTGGGTTGGAAGCGGTGGAAAGGGTTGAAGTATAAGAGGGTTGGTCTAAAAGAGGGTTGGTGTTTAAGAGAGTTGGTGTATAAGAGGGTTGGTGTATAAGAGGGTTGGTGTATGGGAGGAAGCTGCATTCCTCTCAGGGGCCTGCTAGGTGAGTTCTCCCGCTTGTGTTTTTTATGCGAGATCAGCAGGATGACGCTGGGTTTGAAAATTTGATTGGCGTGCGGGAAGAATCTCTGCCTTCTTCCTCTCAGGGGCCTGCTGGCTGCAAGGAAAGTTCTTGATTGGTGTGTTTTCCTTTTAGGAGAAGGTAGGGTTGTGTGGCCATGGTCATGAGGGGGGATGAGATGAGATGAGATGTTAGGAGATAGGATTAGATGGGATGAGATGGGATTAGATGGGATTAGATGGGATGAGGTGGGATTAGATGGGATGAGATGGGATTAGATGGGATTAGATGGGACGAGATGGGATTAGATGGGATGAGATGGGAGGGGTGCCAAGAGTTGACAGGTGGATTGTGTGGTCATGGTCATGAGGACGTGTCAGTAACGGACAGGAGGGCTGAGGAGGCCTTAGGATAAGGTACGATTGAGTGGTCATGGTCATGAGGACTGGTGAGGGTGTGGGGCAGCCTTTTGAGGCGCCTCAAAAGAGAAGATAAGTTTGTGTGGTTATGAAGAGGGGTCAGGAGGGGTGCCAAGGTTTGACAGGTGGATTGTGTGGTCATAAGGAAAGGTGAGGTGGAGCAGTTTTTTTCTCTCTCAGTTCAGCCTTGCTGCTCTTGGTTCACCCCATTCTGCAATTCCCTCTATTCTCTCCTTCCAATCGTGTACGCGCAAGCAAAGCAATGTTAATTTCCATTGCATGCTTGTGTTCGAATTCTTTACGTTCTCACGTTTGTTGTCTGCATGTGCATCCCCTCTGTATCCATCAGGTTTTGGTCATGATCAACACGAAAGCAGGTGGACAATATAAGAGAAAGTGGGTACTTGGAAAGTAGGTTGCACAAGTAGGGTTCTGGGTTGTTGAGAACTACTCATCTTCACAAATTGTGCCTTTGTTTACCAGCTATTTGTGACTTTATTAGGCACATCAAATTAGGCTGGTTTTTCAGTCTGGAAACTGTTTTGTGTAAGAAAGGCTCCTATGATTTGCACGCGTGTATTATTTGGATCATTCCGAGGGAGCAGATGCCACATGCTGCCAAAATGTTTGTTTTCCGTCATCACCGCACTAGCCATCTCGTACCGCCTTCGATCGTAACAAACCGTACTGAAACGAATCAATGCCCTGAATCTCTCGCTGTAGGAGCTTCCCAGACACCAAGCACACATACCGCATCACCATTGGCGCTCCCCACGTCAAATCCTTCTCTCGCCTACCAAAACCCTTTCTCGCTCGCCCCTTCTAGACCCGCCACGCGGGAAACGAAACCCCTTCGTTGCGGGTCGCTCGTTATCGAGTTTCGTTCCGTTTCTGATCCTTGTTTTGGGCTTTCACAGTTAATCGAATCGTTCCGTCATCGTCGAATCGTCATTGTCGAATCGTCTGTTAGCCAGTCGCCATGGCAAAGCACAAGGCTTCGACGAGCCGCCTCAACAAGATCGAGACGCGCAAAAAGGCGAAGCGCGAGAAGCGCAACCTCCGCGACCGCCGCCGCCGCGCGATCTCCTTCGCAGTTGCCGCCGCGAATCTCGGCGCGGAGACGCAGAAGCAGCAGCCGCCACGAGCGGCGCCCGCGAAAGCCAGCCGGGAAGCTTCGAAGAAGCGGCGGAAGACGAAGCCGACGGGGCTGCAGATCTACTGGCATTTGGCCTCCGTGAGACGCGGGCCGCGAGAAACGGCGGCGGTGGCGCTGGTTTCGGAGTTAACGGCGGCGCAGAAGGCGTATTTGCACGCGCAAGGCGGGGGGAAGAAGGGCGGGGGGAATGTGAAAAACCCTCGCGGAAATGGGTCGACGAAGGGTTCAGGGCATAAGAAGGGTTCAGAATATGAGAGTTCGGAAGAGGAGGAAAATGACGAGAGTGAAGAGGAGGAGAGTGAGGAGGAAGAGGAGGCGAGTGAGGAGGAGACAGAGGACGAAGAGGAGAGTGGGGAAGAGGAGGAAGAGGAAGAAGAGGAGGAAGAGGAGGAGGGCGAAGAGACGAAGAGTATTCTGAAGCTGGAGGGGTGTTGCGACGAGATTAATTACGCCGTTAAGCGGCTGATCAGGGGGCTGGAGTCGTCCCGCGGGGTAAGCTTATGAGTCGACTTGAAGTCAAGTCCAGATAAACTGAGAATCGTTCCGCAATGTCCTCCCGTGCCCCTCGCCGCTTTTTCTACGCAGCGCAGCCCTCGCGCTGACCGCGCTACTACCCGCCGTCAAGTCAGCGCGCCGCTATGACCGCCACGATGCCTCTGTCTGTCGCCTTTTGCGGCGTTTCCAAAGTCGCCATCCCCGCCGCCATCTCTCTATTCACATTCTCTCTAGAAGGTGATAAAAAGTTGTGTTTTGAGACGCGGCTAAAACCCGCGTACTGATTTCCACCTCTAAAAAAAAACAACCTTTATCACATGGCTAAACCCTGGTCATTTCACCCTTGAGGTGATATTTTTTATTTGACTAGACTAGAATGTTGTTTTTGAGTCATCTTGAAAGTACTAACTCCGATGTCTCTATTCTGATATCGTCTCTACAGCGTGTTTAGACGCCTCTATCGCCTCTAGAGGTGCCTCCAAAGTCGCAATCCTCGCCGTCTTCTCTCAATCCACACTCTCGCTAAACCCCGGTCACGCCACCCTTCCCCCCCCTTTCCCCACCAAGGCGCAAGGCATGACTATTCAGTGGCGCTGGCTGCCTGTCTCCGCCCGCTGCCCTCTCTGCCACCGATAAACCCGTATAATTTATCCGTACCCCTCTTCCCCCCGGTCACACAGGGCGCAAGGCACGGCTTCTTCTCAGTGGCGCTCGCTGCCTGTCTCTGCGCGCTGGTTCCTGCTATTCCCCTTCCCACCCCCTTCCCCCCTCCTCCCGCACTCCCGCTCCGTCCACCTGGACGCAAGGCAAGGCTACTCGGTCGGTGGCCCTCGCTGCCTGTTTACCCGAGCGCGCTGCCCTCTCTGAATCCGCACCCCCTCACCCCTCCCCCAATCCCCCGTCTCCCCTTCTTATTTCCACAGGGCGCAAGGCAGGGCTATTCAGTGGCGCTCGCTGCCTGTCTGCGCGCGCTGCCCTCGCTGCACCCGCACCTGCCCGCCATCGCTGCTGCTATTCCGCTGCTCATCCCTCTACCCAACAACGCACGGGGAAAGGTGAGCACTCAACCTCTCTGTTGTATCGTGTATTCGAGCTAGTGTACGAGATAGTTACTGTTGTAGATAAACATAAGAGAATCACTCTGCCAGGGTATGTCTGGTGAAGAAAATGTGAAGTGATACTCTCCTTTTCCCCTACTGAAACGTTGAACAGCTCCAAAAAATAGAAGAAGAAGAAAAAAACGCTCGTTGTGGTTATTGAAAAGACCATGAGTAATACTATTTTGGCACCTCAGCTTCAGAAAACGATTTATAACTCAAGGAGAAACTTTTGGAAAAAAAAGAGTAGTTGTATTAATGGTGTAATTCTTGTGTGGTTGGAGTGCAGTGCAGGGATACTGGTTCTTTTGTTCTGGTCCTGAGACCTCTAATAAAAGAAAAACATAACCAGAACCAGCACCCCTGCCGCTGCTTGCGCCATGACAAAGTGTGTATGGGAGGTTTTGTTTTTTCTCGTTTTTGCTAGATTAGACTGGGGTCATTGATTTTTGCATGTTGAGGAGTTTTGGGGTTTGGGGGAGTTACGAGGGAGGGAGGGTAATGTACATCCGAAGCTCTCTTTCCTCAGTGTTTGTTTGTTTGTTTGGTCGCATGTTTGTCCTCGGTGCTCTCATCAACAGCAAGTCTGATAACCCCTTTTTTCTCCTCCTCTCCCACTTTCCACCCTCAGGACGCCTCTGAAGCGCTCTTTGGTCGCATGTTCGCCCTCGGCTCTCTCGTCCGAAGCGGCCTTCTCGCTTCGCCTTCCTCCCTTTCCTCTGCCACCGAAAAGCCAGCAGCAGCAGCAGGGGGGGGTGGGGGGGAGGCGGGGTGGGTGGTGGGGAGGGGAGGGTGGTTACCAGGGGAGGTGGTATCTCAGCTGGTGAGGATCGGCGAGCAACGGTCTTTCCTTGCCGAGCCTGCTATCGTGCTGCTTGTGGCACTCGTATCTCAGGTGATTATAACGAGCACTATAACGAGTGTGACTAAAACGAGCATGACTATACTGAGTCTGTTCTGTACCGTATTAACAGCAGGGTGGTTGCCTAGGGAGGTGGTATCTCAGCTGGTGAGGATCGGAGAGCAACGGTCTTTCCCTTGCCGAGCTTGCTACTGTTCTGCTGGTGGCCCTCATATCGCTGGTGACTATAATGAGTTTGTGCGCTAGCGTACAACAAGGGTGGTTACCTCTTTTTTGGGGGGGGGCTTTTGGGTAAGTGTGGTTACCGGGGGAGGTGGTATCTCAGCTCGTGAGGTTCGGCGAGCAGCGGTCTTTTCTCGCCGAGCCTGCAACCGTGCTGCTGGTGGACCTCGTTTTGCAAGTGACTAAGGCAGGTGATTACAACGAGTGTGACTGTATCGACTTTGTGATGTAGTGTGTATAACGAGGGTGGTAACCGGGTGCGGTGGTATCTCAGCTGCTGAGGATCAGAAAGCAATGATCGTTCCTTGCCGAGCCTGCGACCGTGCTGCTGGTGGCTCCCATATCGCAGGTGACTATAATGAGCAGGTGACTATAACGAGCAGGTGACTATAACGAGCAGGTGACTATAACGAGCAGGTGACTTTAACGAGCAGGGTACTATAACGAGCTGGTGACTATAACGAGTAGGTGACTTTAACGAGCAGGTGACTTTAACGAGCAGGGTACTATAACGAGCAGGTGACTATAACGAGCAGGTGACTTTAACGAGTAGGGTACTATAATGAGCTGGTGACTATAACGAGCAGGTAGCTATAATGGTGACTATATTGAGTGTGACTGTATTAGAGGTGATTGATTGAGAAGTGTGTGCCAGGGTGATACTGCATCGGTTCGCCGAGCCTGCTACTGTGCTGGTGGTGGCTCTCGTATCACAGGTGACTATATCGAGTTTGTGTTGTATCAAGCGGGCAGTTACCGGGGGAGGTGGTATCTCAGGTTTCGAGGGTCGGAGAGCATCGTTCGTTTCTCGCTGGAGCCTACTGTCCATTTTCCCATCCCATTTCCCCCAACCTTCTCCCTCCCCTTCCCATCCCCTTCCCTTCCCCTCACCTTTTCCCCCTGTGTGCGCACCCCCCTCCTCCGTCTTACGCATCCTCGCCTTGCCACCAGTGTCCGCCTTCCTCTCTCAAGACCCCTCCCACTCCTCTCATGAAGCCACCCTGCAGCACCCGCCCTTCCTCACCCGGTCTTTCCCTTTCCCCTTCTCTTCCCCATCCCTTTCCCCTTCTCTTCCCCATCCCTTTCCCCTTCTCTTCCCCATCCCTTTTCCCTTCTCTTCCCCATCCCTTTTCCCTTCTCTTCCCCATCCCTTTTCCCTTCTCTTCCCCATCCCTTTTCCCTTCTCTTCCCCATCCCTTTCCCCTTCTCTTCCCCATCCCTTTCCCCCTTCTCTTCCCCATCCCTTTCCCCTTCTCTTCCCCATCCCTTTTCCATCTTTCCTCTCTTCCCATCCCTTTCCCCTTCTCTTCCCCATCCCTTTTCCCTTCTCTTCCCCATCCCTTTCCCCTTCTCTTCCCCATCCCTTTTCCCTTCTCTTCCCCTCCCTTTCCCCTTCTCTTCCCCATCCCTTTTCCCTTCTCTTCCCCATCCCTTTCCCTTCTCTTCCCCATCCCTTTTCCCTTCTCTTCCCCATCCCTTTTCCCTTCTCTTCCCCATCCCTTTCCCCTTCTCTTCCCCATCCCTTTTCCCTTCTCTTCCCCATCCCTTTCCCCTTCTCTTCCCCATCCCTTTTCCCTTCTCTTCCCTCCCCATCCCTTTCCCTTCTCTTCCCCATCCCTTTTCCCCTTCTCTTCCCCATCCCTTTCCCTTCTCTCCCCATCCCTTTCCCCTTCTCTTCCCCATCCCTTTCCCCTTCTCTTCCCCATCCCTTTCCCCTTCTCTTCCCCATCCCTTTCCCCTTCTCTTCCCCATCCCTTTCCCCTTCTCTTCCCCATCCCTTTTCCCTTCTCTTCCCCATCCCTTTCCCCTTCTCTTCCCCATCCCTTTCCCCTTCTCTTCCCCATCCTTTTCCCTTCTCTTCCCCATCCCTTTCCCCTTCTCTTCCCCATCCCTTTCCCCTTCTCTTCCCCATCCCTTTCCCCTTCTCTTCCCCATCCCTTTTCCCTTCTCTTCCCCATCCCTTTCCCCTTCTCTTCCCCATCCCTTTTCCCTTCTCTTCCCCATCCCTTTCCCTTCTCTTCCCCATCCCTTTTTCCCTTCTCTTCCCCATCCCTTTCCCCTTCTCTTCCCCATCCCTTTTCCCTTCTCTTCCCCATCCCTTTCCCTTCTCTTCCCCATCCCTTTTCCCTTCTCTTCCCCATCCCTTTTCCCCTTCTCTCCCCATCCCTTTCCCTTCTCTTCCCCATCCCTTTTCCCTTCTCTTCCCCATCCCTTTCCCCTTCTCTTCCCCCATCCCTTTTCCCTTCTCTTCCCCATCCCTTTCCCTTTCTCTTCCCCCATCCCTTCCCCTTCTCTTCCCATCCCTTTTCCCTTCTCTTCCCCATCCCTTTCCCCTTCCCTTCTCTTCCCCATCCCTTTCCCCTTCTCTTCCCCATCCCTTTCCCCTTCTCTTCCCCATCCCTTTCCCCTTCTCTTCCCCATCCCTTT